AAGCCCTGGTATAGTAGTAACATATACTGAGAAAAATAATAACTAAAATAGATTATTTTAAAAGATTAGAAAATTTCTAACGGAAATTGCTAAGTGAGAAAATAAATATTAGTTAGGTGGGACGTATATTGACCCACCATGCCGCAAAGGGTTAACTGGGATACAACTTCAGCAAATCTACACTATGATACTAACTGGGTCAAAGTGCAACTAACTTTCAACATTTACAAACGTCTGGCATTCACATCTATTCTGATCAGCACATTCTGTCTCTAAGCAAGCAACTGCATTGGCAACAGCCAAGCTTCTGTATATTATTATTATGCTGATTATTATTTTACTGCACAGTTGAAATTATGCCTCTTAACATAAAATTTGCATATATCTCTGGACTAAGCAAGAAGGTGATGAAATGAGGCATAAAAGAAAAATTCAATATAAAGCTAACTAATCAGTATAAAGCTAGTCCAAGTTGAATAAAAAAAAAAAAAAACCACTAATCTTCTTCAAAATATGTGAGACTTCTATTAGTGTAAAATATAAATGTTTCTAGAAATTTTATAATTTAATGCTAGTTACTTGAAAAAAAATTGTGAAGTTAATTTTATTCTTGAACTTTTTGTAATTCAGTTAAATATTAGATTTAATAATTATGTATCCTAGATTTATTTTAATAATAATCTATCTAATTTACAGATTTATTTTATTAATAATGTATCCTACTTAGAGTTTTATTTTAATAATGTATCCTACTTAGAGTTTTATTTTAATAATGTATCCTACTTAGAGTTCTATTTTAATAATGTATCCTTTGTACAGATTTATTTTATTCTTAAAAATTAAAAAGAGAAATTCGGGTGTAGATAATTGCTTTAGTTTATTGAGTTCCTATTTGTTTGGTGGGTCCTTAATTTTTTCAGTGATGGTCTTTAAAAGTACTTAAATTTCCACATGCAGAAGTGTGTACGAACCTTGTTTATTTTTTAGAAGTTTTTGCTTTTGTTGCAAGCATATGAACTTTTTACACTCATTTCTTTTATCATACACATAAGGAAATCTAGAAATTCTAGCTGGCAGAAAATTAATAGTGACACTTATTTCAAATGTTTTTATATTTAGGAAGGGGAGAGGAATTTTAGAGACTTGTAATGTTTGCAAGTTCCTAGTGGCTGAACCTAATTGTTATCTGCCAGTTATTGGTTTGTATATGTCTCTTGCCCCAAATTGTATTTCCGTTATTTATTAATAATTAAATTATAATTGTTTTGTTGGTATGTTCATTGTTATTAATGCAAAGAAATTAGGATGACTGACCTATTTCTTGTTGCCTAGTTGAAAATATTATGTAGGTCTGGCTTTAAGAATGGGATCATTCTGCATATGTGTATGTCCATCCGATCTTAAAAGTGTTACATGGTTTGGTAATCTTTTAATAATTTGTAATTTTCTTGCAAATTAATTCTTTTGTACATTTTTTTTTTAACTTCTAATGTGAAATACAAGTACTTTATTGTTGCAGAAGTGACACTGTATTGAAGCCATTTTTCCATATAATTTAAAGATCATACAAGCTTTTCCCTCTTTTTTTGTATCTAAATATATCTGTGTTACACCCTAAGCACAATTATATTCTACAAATTGCGCTAAAGGATGCTTTCTCTGCAATATATTTTAATGAGGGTTTTTTTTTTTTTTTTCCATTTTTAAACCAGAAAAAAGAAATATCTTAAAAACTAATACTGTTTTTAGAAAAGCATGCTGAGCTTTAGCAAACAGATTACTAGTTGTGTTAATTTCTAATTCAATAGTATTTTCAAAAATTGTTTTTAGGGGTGACTTTTCATATTGCAGAGGCGATATACTTTTTCATTATTTCTTTACATATGTATTCTAGAGCTCAGTCATCATTTGGCTTTTTTAATTTTAAATCCATAAAATGGATAGCAGCATTACTGAAAGCAAGCCCTCCCCCCTTTAACTTCTAGTCCCAGGTATTATAGCTAAATTGTGAAGAACATGTATGTAGTTGCCACAGCTTTTGAATTATAAGACTTGTGAAACTAGTTTTGTGCATAGTCTTGTTTTTTAAAAAATGACTAATACTAAATCAATAAAGTATTAAATGGAAGCAGTTCCTTATTTATGACAACAGCTTCAATGAAAGTAGCTTTTTAATCTAAAAAGGACTAAAGTTTAATCCAGAACTTCATTTGCAGTGAAAAGCTGAGGAATATATGGGATGGAAAGAAAGAAAAACTAAAATGCCTAATGGATTAAAAATGAAAAATCAAGCCCTTAATGCATATTTTATTTCAAGAAGAAACAATCTAGGATATTATTTATTTTTTTAATTGAAGGTAATTTCAATATTTCTAGCTCCGAAAGTGAAAATTTTAATATATCTTGCTGTGGCAATTCTAGCAAGTTTTTGAAAATGTTTTAAGAGGTGTCTGAGCAGTGCACTTTCACATATATTTTAGTATCACAAGTTTTAGTCACATTCAAGTGCTCTTGCCTGAATATGTCTAAACACTGCAGAAAGAAACATGTATACAACAATTGTATTCAAATCTGTGGAGAAAAATCCCAATGGAAAAATTTGGAAAGTGATAATAGTATTGAAGCCACCACTGACATTTCCTAAGCAATGAAAAAAGAGAAAGATTGGGCTGTTTTACAAGAATATTTCTGTCGACCTGAATCCTCATAGTCCTGTCCTTGCATCTTTCTGTTTCATTTAATACTTAATCTAGCTGCAATGAAGTACAAAGGTGTTAAGCAGCACCAGCCAGTGTTATTTTTCAGCAAATTTGTGCACTATCTCATTAATTTACTGATAACACTAGATGGCACCTCCATCTGTATACATTTATATTCCTACTATTTCATCATACTATCTTGCCCATCTATTTTTTGTAAATATTTGCAGTATCTAAATGTTTTTGGTAATGTAGTGTATTCAGTGATTTAAGATATATTGAAACATTTTCTTTTTTGAAAAAAGTAAAGAATTAGACTTCTGTGCAAAATTTGGGTGCTCTTAACCCTTTGACGGGCGGTGGTCGTGCTCTGAAACCACCAATTTTCGAAATTTTTCCCGCTCTTGTTTCCAAACTGTTTGAGTGAAAATCGATTGATTACTTATCTTTTATCTCTAAATAACGCAAAATTACTGCAGAACTATACATTTTTTAGGTCTTAGTATTTTAAATCGGATGCCTTTTAAAATTCATTTTCAGTGAGACAAAATAACTTCCTTTTATTTATATAATTAACTTAAAATTAAAAATTTTTTTTTATCCCACATCATTATTTCTATCATAAACAATAAAAATACAGCAATAATTAAACTGTATATATAAACAACCTGTGTATATTTATGGTATTTCCTTTGTGGTTTCAGGGCACGACCACTGCCCCCACTAGAGTATTGCGTTACAATGCTCACATTCCCCTAGAGGCTCGGTGGTCGCGCCCTGAAACCACTGCTCTTTATAGTAATGTTTGCTGCTTTGAAATAAAAGTGTTTATTTTCACCCGGATATAGATAAGGGGTTCTGAAATCACAGAGTTATTGTATTACCAAACAATACATGCACCTGCCCCCATAAAATATTTTTGGTTCCAGAGATTTTTCTCTGCTTTTAGCATGCTTGCTCTCTGTGCTAGTACTGTGATTTTCTAAATTATTTTGCGTGGTTCCAATAAATTGCAAATATATTTTTGAATAATTAAAAATAGAAATCACACAAAAATTTAATTAAATTTAAAATATTTTGCCAATATTTTATTTTCTACTGTTGAGATTCAAAATGCCTCGCAAAGGGTTAGAAATAGCTGATGCATTAGCGTTACTTGAAGAATTACCTTCAGATCCAGAATCATTGGTCTCTGAGGATGAAAGTGAAGGAGAAGGAAATACTCCTTTACCCCCTTCCCTCCTGCTTATGGAAATATAGAAGATGAAAGTGATTATCATTCAGAAAATGATGATTATAAATTTACCAGGTATTTCCAGAATTGCAGATGTAACATGGAATAAAATGCAGAATGTAATGAAATCCATTCCCGAATTTTCTAAGGATTATGGCCCAACTGACGAAATTACCTCTATGGAAGATGCAAAACCCATGGATATATTTATGGCTTTTATCCATCTATTTATCAAAATTTCCTTATTATGTACGTTCTTATGTTTTCACTGCTGCAGAAAAATTACATAAATTATAATTTTTTTCTACTTTGTAAAATAAAGTAAAAAATTTATATTTGATGCAATTTTTAAATGCATTTTTTTTTTTATTCGCAAATTTCATCATTCATTAGAAATGCCGTATGGAAAAAGGTAAGTTGTTTTTTTTCCTACTGACTCAGTAAGTTTCAAAGTCCTAGACGCGCGCTGGTTTCACAGCGAAACCACCACCCACAGATTAATGGACGGGAGTAGATTTTTTTAAATTCATGTATTATTTGTCTCTAGGATCATAATATTTGATTTCTAGTATTTTTAGTTTAAAAAAATTTAAAAATAATATAGCGCGCGTCAAAGGGTTAATGAAATTCTTTCATGTCATACTTATTGGTATGTCATCATATCATCACCAGTCAGAAATAGTATTTAACACGTAATTATTTATTTATTGCTAATACTAACTATTTACTACTAATATTGTTTATTTATTGCTAATGCTGTTTAACAATCGGAAATATTTTTGTAATTAGTTGTAATTAATTATCTCTCATAGAGCTAGTGAAGGTTTGTTTCCTTAACAGAATTTTTTTCTTTTCTCAATTTTTCTGCAGTACATGTGCTGTGTTATAATGGAAACATGGTCAAAAACTTATGCTTTGAATCTGCGCAAATATTTTGCAGTTGTAATTTATTAAATAAAGATAATTAACTTAAATTTCTGAATAAAGATGCCTTGATTAAAGTGCCTTTTCTTATGTATTTAATAACAAAAATGCAAAATAATGTTGAGCATTTTTTTTTATCAAAGCATATCGAAACTGGATGAACAGTATGGGTGTTTCGCCATATGTTAACTGGCTATATAGTGATCTAGCTGATGGACTTATAATATTCCAGGTAAGTCTTATAATATTCCAGGTAGACTTTGTACTTAAAATGTGCTCTGTATAAATAAATATTCTTCTCTTCTAGTTGATTTCTAAAAATATGAAGCTTTATTATTTTAGTTTCTTTGTAGTTTAGTTATTTTACTAATATTGTTTTTCATTTAGTTTTAGTTTCTTCATTTCTTGTGTTCTACCATGAAAAGCAACTCATGCCTAGTGTGATATTTATTTTAGTGAAATAATGGTATTATTCCATCTCTGCTTAATATGTGCAAATGATAAAATAATCAGTGCTTTATTTGAATGAATATCTTAAGTACTTCACCATACCAGAGTTGCAAACTCTTTTTATTTCTGACCGTTCTCCCGCCAACCCGATTTACAACATATTTCTCCCAACTTTCTGTTATTCTTAAAATTTATCATGTTCTAGTTCGCCAATGAGCATCGAGCGCCACTTTGTGTCATCTGGCATAGTATATTAGCCTATGAGCACAAAGCAAGATTGAGGTTGTTATTTCTTTTATATTGCCATTGAGCATTGTGAGTGCACACATTTTCAAGAAATAGTTAAAGAAATTACAGTTATTTGCTTTAATTATGTCTGAGAAAAGGTAAAATACTCATGTACTTTTCAAAAATCATAAGTAGACTTATAGTATTTCCTTAAGGAAATGTAATATATTTGCAATGTGTATTGTTATTACCTTTTTCGATTTGGTTATGCAACTAACAAAGTAGTGAAATAACTTCCACGTTAGAAGCTACTTCTGCGGAGTATGTGATTACATACTACTTAAATTTTCGATCAACAATGAAGTGATTTTACATGAAGTTGCAGATGTTTCTGCTCTAGCAAATGCATCTTTTTCTGATATAAGATAATGTTTTGAATAGATTTTGTATTTTATTTCATTTAGTCATGAAAGGCAGTGATATTGATGTTGCAACTGATGAATTGCAGTCTCAATTTTGCAGTTTACAATTAAAAAATTGGATAAAGTTATAAAACTAGCTAGGATTGATACCTAGTAGAGTTTAATTGGAAAACTGAAAGGTGCTGATTGAATTTTAAAGTATATTGAACTGCCTAGAATAATGTTGTCCATCCTGACAATTCTCCATGATAATGCAGAATACAAGACGATTTTCAGTATTCTTTCGAAAACAAGGACTAAATTTAGATCTAATATTAGTAAACACATTAGAACAACCTTTATTAGAAAAAGCAGGTGTACATGGCAATAAGTAAGAGCAAAATTAGGTCCTTTCTTGATGAAAGCAAAATCTGCCTATATTCATAGCATTTGTACAAAAACTGATTTAAAGTATTATATTTTTGTTAAAAGGTGCAAATGATAAAAATGATTTTTTTTTTTTTTTAACATGTAAGTATTCTTGTTCTGTTTGCATTTAAGAATTAGTAACTGAAATTTTAGATATTAATTAGTAACTATTTAAAGTTAATTAATTATTAAAAATATAGTTATCATTTAAAAAAATCTTTTTGCCATAGAGGAAAAAATCTCTTGATTTTTTAGTGTCATAGGTTGGCAAGTATGCCATACATATCTGCTGTGGTATTAAACGTGTACAGTTTTATGTGAATTGAATGTTCAGCATATTTATTGGCATATTGAATAACAGATGGAATAATGAGTGGGAAGTACATGGACGGCCCCTAGCCTGGGAGATAGGATTCTCCCTTTCAAGGTTTAATAAAACCGCAACCTCAGGACCGAACTGGTAGGGCGTCACCCCTCCTGGTCGCTGCAGAGGGAAAACTTCCCCCATAGATTTTGTCGTCAGTGAAGGGACCGACAAGCGACCATCGCGAAGAGATCCACAGGGCCGGTCCAAACGCCGACTGCTTTGCTAAGTTGTAGCGAAAACTACGTTAAAATTCCCACGATCGGGGCAACACTCCCTCTCGCGGTACTCGTTTCTAGGACAGTATGCTTAAAACCAGAGATCATATGTCCCTCCACACCGACCGAGAGGAATCAATTCCTCTCAGACGGTCTCACCATTCACCATGTAACGTCCCCACAGCTTTGGTCACCGAGAAGACAGTACCATATAGTCCCTGTCAGGCCTGAACCACCACCGAATGAACGATGGCTCTAGTCTTTACCGTGAAGACTGTTTATTTACTCTGCAGTCCTGAGCTGTCTAGACACAAGTCTAGCCAGTGATCTGGAGGAACCCCGGGTCTCCTCCCATAAATGGTCGGTTCCGGAAATCCCAACCAGCCGAACCACAGAGATCGTTGTCCAGCATCTGTTAGCCTATATCGAGCCTAATGCTGTCTGAGGAGAGCCAGCCTATTTCTAGCCTAATGCCAGCATAATTTCCAGCGGGCGCCACGAGGAGGCCGATGCTGAACTGAGGGAGACGAGACTAGGTCTCCATCCCTCAACACCTACCCTTTGATCGAACGCTGGGTCTCCTGCCTTCTGCCACTGCTTATGACGGTCTCCCGCACACGGTTCTCACCGCTCACAGTGGTTTCCAGCCGGTTCCATACATCCGTCCTCTGGGACAGGTGCCGGCAGTTCTTCCCCTAAGAACAAGCACAAGGTCTCCTTCTGCCAGCTGTCGGTTCTGGATATCTGTCGTCGGGTCCGAACACCACCCGCCAGTGGGAAGTACAAAAGCTACATTCCAGAAACTTTGTGAAACATTTTATCTTTATTTGTGTTGAATCATTGTGAAAGAAATTACCTGTATTTAATTGTGCTTTGCATAATTAATCAACAGAAGGCAACATTTAACAGTATTGTTTAGCCATTTATCTTTATGTAGATTCTTAAAAAATGTTTTTATTAGGAAAACATATTATGCAGTTTTATGAACTTTTGTTTGAATTTTATGCAAAATAAGGTAAATGCTTTAGCTAAAAATAGCCCATCGAACAAATATTAATTTAGAAGTCAAACAACAAAATCAGCATTATATTTGCAAATTTTCACAGGACTAGTTTCGATGGTTTTATTAAACCACCATCCTCAGCTGCCAAAGAGCAAATGAACAAGATGTAATGATAAGAATGGCTGGATAGGACTTAAGCTACTGGCATCATTTATTGATGAAATAAGAAAACTAAAACATAATTCCGTTAAGGACGGATTAGAATTAGGGTCGTTAACTAGAACAGAGAGATTTTTTTAATGTGAAATGCCTCTAGAAAATCTAATTCACTAATGGAAGATGTTTTCTGAATAATTATGGCTGCAGGAAAATGGAAAGTGTGATTTTCAGACCAACAATGCTGGGCAACAGAGGACTTTTGTGTTTCATTTTTCCTAAGATAAGCCTCATGAAATTTTGAGGCTCTTGTAGTTTGACCAATGTAAATTAAACCATACTGGCAAGGAATCCTCTAAATGTCCCAGGAATTCATATGTCTTAAGTATGGAACTTCAAATTTTTTTGATAGGAGAATAAACAAGCTGAAAGTTAAATTTCTGTAAAATGTTGTATGACATCTTGTTATCATAAAAAAAGTTACAAAACTTGTCACATAGGATTGTAACATTACCATTTGCATTAAAATATTGTATCTTCAATTTATCACATTATAATATTTTAATTTATATGGAATGTACTATTACTTATGTTATGTATTCTTTTCAGCTATATGATATCATAAAACCTGGAATAGTTGACTGGAACCGTGTGCACAGAGTCTTTAGCAAACTGAAAGCATTCATGGAGAAATTGGAAAATTGCAACTATTCTGTTCAACTTGGCAAAGAGTTAAAATTTTCACTCGTTGGAATTGCAGGGCATGATATATCTGAAGGGAATCCAACACTCACTCTTGGTATGTTATTATGCAATATATAAAGAAGTGTAGCAAATTCACAAAATAGTGCAATACTCCAAAACTGCTAGTATTGCAAAGTGCAGTAAACTCTGTCACATAGCATTCATCTCTTTTAAACCAGTTTTTATATGCAGCCATTTTGAGGTTAATTTTTTCATTTTGATGGAATAAATTTACTGCATTTTGTAATTTTACTGTCATAAATATAGATGATTTTGAAGAAAGCTTGAGTGTGTTCTAAATTTTAATGTAAATTAGGTGAAAAGGCAAGTTTAACTTCATAAAATGTTTTAAGTCCAGGTAACATGTGAATGGCTTAGCATTTCTAAAATGGCCACATGTAATTTACAGTCATAATGTGCTTCCAGTAGCAAAATAACAAATGCCTCAGATTTGCAGGAAATTGTCTTAACAGTTAGGTGAATGGCTCATAATAACCTGAATTTGTGGGACATTATTATAAGAGACAGCTATGCAAATTCTATTGGATTACTTGAAATGAGAAGGATATCATGAATGCTAATTGAAAGTAAGTATTACATTAAAATATATAGCAAGCAAGAAGAATAAATCATAAATATCCCAGTATTTCCTAAGTAATTCATTCATTCTCTGTAATGAGACTTGGGGTTCTGCATGTGAATCTGAAATGATAATGCCATTCATATTGGAAGTATTTCACTTTGCTGTAAGTAAAAGAATTTGTTCATGTGAAAAGCAGCAAATGTTTTTTTTTTTTTTTTGTTTTGTTTTGTTTTTGTCATTAACTGAATTAAATTTCTCATAGAGCAGGGAGGGTTCTTAGACTTTTTAAAATTTATACCTGTAAATAAAAATATATACAAGGTTGAATCAAAGTCTTTGCCCCCCCCCCCCCCCCGTGGTGTTCAGCAAAATCGATAGTGTGATCTGGTAGTGAGAAAACTGAATCAGAATTATTTTTTCTGAACCCTTATTGCTTGTTTTTAGCTCTTTTCAATTATTCCTTTTATCTGAATTCAATCTGATGGTTAACTTCTCCTCCTGTTTGTGTAGCATCCAAAATTGTGTACTAAAGCAAAACTTTAAAATGTATCCAAAATACATTTTATGGGAGGTGTGAGACAAACACAATTTCTAGTCTGTTGTATAAATTTTAGATTTCCAGTCTTTGTAAGAAAACACTTTGGTTGATTAATGTTCATAGCAAATAGAAAGTAACAGGAAGAACAACTGAACCAGTAATATACCGTGTGTATATTAGTTTCCAGCCTACAGAGTGTTAATAGAATTGATGGTCATAACTTTAAGAGGTAATAGAGCATAGCAAAAATAGCGATTTTCATAATATAAAATGTGGTGGAATGCAACTGTGAATGTAGAAACGTAGTAGTATGTACAAGAAACATGGAGAGTGAAAAGTTTTAATCGTGGATATTTACAAGAAGTTGTGTTTGATTTTGTCAAGTCTTAGTCAAATGAACGGCCACCAACTGCAGTACATTCATCACAGTAATGAAAAAATTATTTGGCATAAACTTTGCATAGCTACCAGCTCTGCCAGTTTTTTATCACATCTCCGTCTTTTCATGGTAGATGACCAAATCTGTTGGTTTTTAATTTTTAGCCTTTTCTAAGGAAAATGTTTCTCAGAAATACATGATATTACCAAATTTAAATTACCAAATTCCATTCACTCACCTGTAGTTATTTCCAGAATAATTTTTCTTGTTAAATTTTATTTAACTTGAATTTGGGGAGGCTACATTTTATTGATCTTATTAAATTTCATTTGGTCTGAATTGTCTTAATCTACTGTAAACATTTTAAAATTTTATGTGAAGTTTCCAACAATGTTTAATCAGCTAATATTTGTATTTAATTTTGCTTCACTTTAATATATGATACATTACTAAGTTTATCCATACAGATATTATGTATGTTAATTATTTTATTTCCATTGTATTTAAAAGAACTTAGATAAACAAAATCTTTCCTTCACTCCTTCGGATTTTCTTAGCATAAATGTGTAAGAAATTAAAAAAATAAAATTATGTTAAGAACATGAAATTTAGAATATCTAACGCTAATATATTTTATACCAGAATTATATTACATATAGTTCAGTAACTTGAATCGTGCATTATAAAGTGATTTAAAGTCAGCTTGGAGCTCCTTTAAAATTGTGATGACGTGCAGTGTGAAAAACTCCCAGTTTCTGAGATTTCAAGGTTAGCAGTTATGACTTTGGAAGATGTCCAGCATGTTTTATGCTGCAGTAATGATGCAAGTTTTGACAGCAAGGTCTTCAGGATAGTCATTTCCGCATCATGTAAATGATATCCATTGCCATTTTGATGCATGTGTTGCAAGTTTCTGGTCCTTCATTTGAAGAATTCTCGTAAATATCCATGTTAAAGCAACTTTTTGTTTCCTGTGTTCTTCATACTTATTGTGCTTTCATGTCCACATTTCGCATTCCACCATACACAGTTTTACGAAAATCGTTGCTTCTGCTATGTCTTCAAGATCCACCTCTTCTAAGAAACTACCACTAAGTCCACCTCTTCAAGATCTGACCACCAATTCTGTTACATCATATATATTCTAAGTTTATAAGGTTACAAATAAAAAAGTGTCAAAAACTACAAGGGGGAGACGTGTTTCTATTAATGGTAAAAGGGGAACTTCCTCACGTTGGTAGTAGTCTGAATTATATTTTACTTGTATAAAATTTTATTACGTTCTTTTAATAAAATATACAGTTGAAGAATCTTTAATCAGTATCATAGTATTGTAAATAATATTGGAATTAATACAAATGCTTTTCACATATTTGCTTTATTTAAAAAAAACTATATAAAACTTCAGATCAATTTTAATAATGTATATATTCTAGCACTGGTGTGGCAGTTGATGAGAGCTTATACTCTGACTATTTTAACACAGCTAGCAAATACTGGTCATCCTGTTGTTGAAAAAGAAATAGTTGAATGGGTCAACAATAAAGTAAGATATTTATGCATTTATATTTTCATATTTAAATCCATTTCTTGACGGAGGACAATCTTTTTTTAAATTTATAATTATTTAATGGTTAGGTGAAATATACATATTTAAGATTGGCGTGTTCTTTACATGTTTTGTTTCAGAATTGTTCTTTACCTTATAATATGATATACTTCAAAGTAAAAGTGAAAAAAATTAATGTATGAGGTGATAAGATTTCAGAATTCTGTTCTCCATAAAATTCCAACATGTATATATTCTTCAGTACTTAATACAGTCAAAAGTCGTTAATCCGAACTTGTCGGGACTGCGGCAATTCCAGATTATCGATTTTTCCGGATTATAGATCATCAGTTTAAATCTGGTAAGGTGGCATGCAGAAATTATAAAATTAAAAATATGAAACCATAATTTATGAAATAAAGAACAATTATGATCTAAAGAATATCAAAATTTACAAAAAAAAAAAAAAGCTTAATATTTATTTGTTTACTTTATTAAACATTTCTTTCAATGTAAGTTGTTTAAGTTGCTTCATTTTTTATGTGATAATACAATCTCTTTAATTCTTTAAACAGACGTAATTTCTTGTTCAGTTACAAAGTTCCGCTGTTCAAGTCCTATAATTGCTGTGTCGAGAATACCGACTAATTTGTTAATTGAAATTTTTTCGTTTTCAATAACCTCTGTCACTTTCTTCGCTATCGGAAGCGAATTATAATGACGAGGAATTTGATTTAAATCATATCAAAGATGGAGTACATTGAGATGAAATACTACATTTAATAAGGAATTATAAGCCAAATAAAATAAAAATATCTGCCCTGAAGATAAGGATAGTGCTGACAGATCAACTTCCAATTCATTGCGCGGCGCTGCGGCGTTAAAGATAAACAAACGTTAAAGTTTAGATAAACAAAGGATATGCCTTTATCCATTTTTTGTAGCAGTTCCACTTTTTGTTTAATGAACTTCGAAACATACTTTCGCTTTGTAGATCATTTACATATTAATAAATATATATCAGAAATTCTATTTGACATAATCGAAAGTTCAAGCTTACTTTTATAAAATTGCTCTAACAGTCTGCAAAAAATAATAAGCCGGATCCAATTCGAAGTTTAAGGAACAACGCAATCTGCAACATTAACTGAAATAGATAATTAAATAATTTTAGCTTAGCTTATACCGTCCGTTATACATTAAACGCGCACTCGTAAACATATTTTGCGCATGCGCACAAGCATATTCTCAGCCGTAAAGGTCAAACCGACGCATGCGCAGAAAGTTTGAAGCTTTGAGGTCCGGATTATGGGTGTCCGAATTAAAGACTTTTGACTGTAGTTATGTTAATATGCTTGAAGAGAGTTTGCTCCTTTTTCAGCTGGAATTAGCTCTTATTGGGAACATTTTTTCTGCCAGTATATGCACGAATTGACCAATTTCCATGATCTTTTTCGTTTTTGTACACGTAAAAGTATGTAGTTTCAGAAATTTTAGATTTGTAAAATTATTAATTTACAAAAATTTTTAATTGTTATAGAAGCAAACAAAAAAACTTTTTTGGATTGATTTTTGGTTTGGGGTAAATATTTTCAAATTTTTCAGTAGGTAAAATGTATGGAACATTTCATATGTAGAAGGTATGAGGAATTTTGGTTATATCCTGTAGAAATTGAAAAATCATTAAAAAGTTCATTCTGATTAAAAGATTTCAGGACACAAGTTTCACTCCTAGCACTATAAATTGTACGTCTGCTGATCAAATTATCATGCAACCCTGTACAGCATACTCTCAATTTATCCATACAGTAATGTGGCCATGTATGCATTTTCAATGCTATGCACAAGAGTGTGTAAAAAATGATGTGCATGTGCAAGTCCAAGTCTCTTAGGATGGCTAAACTGTGTCTTTAGTTTCAACTGTTACCGTGTACATTTCGTTCTGCATGTACATAATGGAAGGCATTGTTTTAGTTGATGATTGGAACTTTTTTTTGGTTTCATATTAATTTTTTTTGCATATTTTCTTGTTCTTTTCAAAATTTAAGATATTAGAAATTAAAAGTGAGTGAACATGCTGGAAGTCCGAAGTCCAACAAGTTGTTTTATCATTAAAACAAAAGCTTACATTAATTGAAAGATTCATGTTATTGTTAAACAAAAAATGTTTTCAACCAGAAGGAATTTGAATAGAATGGTAAATAGCACTTTGAAAAATATGCTGTGAAATTTGACAAATATTTAAGCATTTTTAATAACAAAATAAAATTGCTGATTTTTTTAAGAACTAAACACATACAATATAGATGAAATTGATAGTTTGAATGATTAATGTTTTTCGGTTATCCTGACCTGCTTCCTCAGCATTAGTCTGGATAAGCCAGAGTTGACTGTAGTTTGCTTTGTTCAATTTTTAGTATTTTTAAGCGAAAAATATACAGCTTCAATTTTTTTGGGGAGATTTTTGTGTGTCAGATCTCCTTAATATGTCTAAGCAACTGAAATACACATAAGATTTTGAAATAAGTAAGTGAATAAATATAACTGTGTGGGTGAAAGTTTTCCAAGTATTTTGTGCACAATCATTTGTCATTATTTATAGTCAAATCTTAATTTTGAGCCATTTGTGTTTTCAGATTGCATAATGGATTCACCTGTTCAATAATTAATGAGTGCAACCAAAGATTAACTTTGATCTGTATCTATATTTCCCAGGATATTGTTTGTGGGTCCTAAGAACACTAAGTTATATTTCAAGTGGCGAGATCTTAAGCATGTAATTTGAGAATTATGTGAGGATGTACCTTAAGGACGTATTAGAAATATGAAAAAAATATAAGTGTGAATTCTTTACACAGTTCTGGATGTGAAAAAGTTTGAAGTTTGTTATCTTGAACTTTTGGTTGTTATTTTACTTGTGCTATGCATGTATACTTTGATGATATTTGCATCTGCATCAAAACATTTTCAATTTGTTGTCCGGAAAGTGTGTTTGTAGAGACAGGTCTTTTCAGAGCAGAAAACATGAAAAGTGAACAGTGCCCTTGCTATGATTTAAACCAGCAGTTCTCAACCTTTAGACTAACTAACGCATACCATCTGAAAAAAAATTTTAAACCTTTAGTACTACCACCACCACCACCACCACTACTCTTGAACAAGCTCAGATCACATAAATTTACGAGTGTTAGAGAAAAAAACTCAATCAGGATGTTGGGGTTTTAATTTTTGAACTTAGTCATTAAAAATACATTGCTGCTTTGTGTACCACCTATTTCTCTTGCGTACCAACAGTTGAGAACCCCTGATTTATTAAACCATACAACTTTTAGTGCATGTGCTAATGTTTAATGGTCTTTCTTATATAAATTATATATTCTTGTAATAATTTATTAAATTCTGTAAAATTCACAACTAATATTGAATTCTTTCTCCACCTTTAAGCCAAATTATACCTCTTATAGCCAAATTATCGCTTTTTAAATCTAAGGTATGTTTTATTATTTTAGCTCAAGGAAGCAGGCAAAGAAACTAGTATCAAGAGTTTCCAGGATCAGTCTATTTCAACAGCATTGCCAATTATTGATTTAATAGATGCTATTCAGCCTGGGTCCATAAATTACAGTCAAGTTTTAACAAGTAATACACAAGAGGTATATAATAGTTTTATTTTCTGTAGATTTTTAGAGATAATTTTGTATTTGAGATCTGTGTTTACTTGTTATGGACTACTAAATTATTTAGCATGCTAATAAATTATTAATAATTGCAGGATAAAATGGCTAATGCTAAATATGCTATTTCAATGGCCAGAAAAATTGGTGCTAGAATTTATGCATTGCCAGAGGATATAACTGAAGTGAAACAAAAAATGGTTATGACTGTGTTTGCATGCCTTATGGCAAGAGACTACATCCCTAACATGGGTGCTAAGAGTATTACTGAACAATAAAATACCAGATTAAGTGCTACATATTTTTAGAAAATTTGTATATGAAATTTTTAAATACATTCTTATAGAATTGTTTATATTAAGTGTAATTGTTTTATTGATATAGAAGTGAAGCATGCCTGCCATTTAACACTCAAAATAAGAAGCCCATAATTTTCCCATGTTTTGTAATGAGAAAGTTTTGGTGTACTTAATTTTTTAATACATGTACTTCAAAATATACTGCTTGTTATACTATATATTATCTAGTATATTTTTATTAACTGTTGCTGTATTTGTTATTAACAGACGTATTTTTTAATATATTACTCAGTACTACAAATACTGTGTATTAAAATATTAATGTATTTAATGCATTCTTAATGTATTACTCATAAAGGATAAATATGACCTCGATTATCTGAAATTTAAGGGCTTTCTATTTTTAGTGAAACAACTTTTTTCAACTTATATGTGCTGTCACTTCCTGTCAATTTTTTAAAATTTGCATTTATATAAGACTAATTTAGATGCTTTAAAGGTGCTATCTTAGTCAGATAGTTCTTATTTTGTATATTTGCTTAATGTTTATGCTGTACATATGTTTTTCATATTTAGTTTTTAAAATTTTTACACAATTTTGCATTCCATATTTCTAAGACTTAAAAGTGGTATATATATATATATAGTTCTTTTGTATTTTAAATTTCCATATTGTGGAACTTTATGGTCAGTTCTGTATAAAGTTTTTGTGAAATTTCAGAATAATATGTTTGTAACATTTATGATCTTGTTTGTTAATAAACTTTTCTTTGTGTATAAAAGCTTTTTTTGTACAAGTGTAGAAAAACATGCATAAAAAATCCATAAATGTATGAAATGATAATTTACATAAATCTTGATATGAATCCTATTTATTAACAGCAGTTTTTGAAATACATACTAATACATTTGAATCACAAACTTATTACAATTTTTAACCTCATGACACATAGCATACTTAATAGTCAATATTCACTATATTTACATTTAAACATTATCCATACAGTAAATAATATACCCAGTTCATACACTTTTCAGAATTTCTGGTATGCATTATGCCATACAGTGCTTTTAAAATATTTTATTCTGAATGTATTTACATCTCACAATTGTTATTAATAAAGTGATTTTTCATTATGAAAAGAAATTAAAGAGCTTAAACAAAATCATTAAATAACTATAAAACCAAGTAAAAATTAATAAACTATAAATATAAAAACTGTGTATATTGGAAAATTAAATATATTTAGAGACTAGACGTATTTACAACTTGATACACACATCAGGAATGACTTAAGTATATGAAATAAAATTGCACTTAAAACAAGATGAATTCATCAAAATTATAATCTCATTTTTATTGCACATATATTGATTGCACTTAAATTTAAAAAATAAATCAATTTGAACTTCAGCTTGAAAAAAATACTTGAAACAGCTTGAATCAAGTGTTAATATGATATATCCTTACATTTCATGAGACATGTCGAGCAAAATAAATAATTCAGATTTTATTAAAAGAATAATATTTCCGATTCTAAGAACATTTTAGATGCCCTCCTCAAATACTTGAATTGTTCCACAGACAAGGTTTTATACTTGCATTTAATTTTATTTTTTTCTTTTCTTGTCACTTTTTATTTAAGATTTTATTGCATTTTTAATGTAGCCTTTGATTTAGTTATTAAATCACTATTTCCAAAATTGCTGACTTCCAAAGATTAACCAAATTGTATTCATTTAGGAAATAAAAGCATACTTATAAAAATTTAATTGAAAAATTATACATGTCATTCCAGGAACTGGTTGTCATAAAAATTTATCATTCTTATATGCTTGAAAAATCTAACAGATTTTATCATGATTTATACTGATTGCACTTTTTTTTTTGAAAAGTATTGAATAAATTCTATTTTTATTGAATATTAATTTTAGTAATATGAATTTAGAGATATATTTACTGCATAAACGAAAGGCAAATTGTGATTAAACAGTATCTTGCTTAAATATTTGCCTTTTTGTGCATTTTCAGTCCATATCGAGAAAATTTGTGTCTTTCTGGCATAAATAATACAAAATACAACTTAATAAATATCAAAAGGATCTAGTTTCTCATGATCCTGAGATTTTTCCTTCCATTTTCTGTTTCAATAAAGTCAGTCCCAAACAAAATGGCTGAACATAAATAAGTATTAAAATGAATTGTCATCAAAATATTCCAAATTTCCATTTGTACTGTTAATGGAGATTTGGACTATTTTCATGACATACTCTTGCTGCTGAAGTATTTGTCAGCTTATATTATGCAAAAGATACTCTTAAAATTATATTTACAGTATATACATATTTTCCTATTAATATACAGAACTTGTGCATGAGCTATTATTAATTCACTGTGCAATTACATAAAAAGAAAATACAGAGGTCATTTCTTAATACAGTATCTAAGTAATACAGAACACCCCAGAAAATGTCTTTAAAAAACTTAGAATAAAACATCATCACTTTGGAAAGTAATAAAAAACACATCTGATTTAAACATTTGTTAGATATATAAAATGTAACTGAAAAAAGTACAGAAAAATTCGAGTACAATCAACTCCCAACAAACTGGGCCTTATCTAAGAAAAGGCTATTCCTGTCTATGACAGAAGAAAGGGAAAGTAATGATCATAATAATACAAAAGTTTCTGCCGAAAAATGTGGCAACTGTGACCGCAGAAGATGCCACAACCTTTTATAGCTTATTTTCTTGAAAGCTAGTGACATTGTTCCCTTATTTAAAATGCATTGTTTTAACATTCATTTAATTTTCAGGACTAAATACAGATATCATAAGATCATAAGATTATTCCTCTTTCCTGTGTTTTTAACTGTGTTCTGATAATGCATGATTTTGAGTTAACTGTTCGACTCCCATCCTCAGTAAGTTGAGAGTTGACTGTAATTGAAAATTTGACTTACCAAGGAAACTTTTAACTCATAAAGCTCAAATAACAGTTCTATGGTATGTTTGGAATGTAGAAATTCAGAAAGGAAGCTCATTTGAATAAAGCATTTAAATAATAATTTGTTAATAGAGAAAATTAAATTCTTGTATTTCTTCATTCAAATCCATAAATAATATTTGCTGTTTCGAAACTGCACTACGATTAAAATGAAAAAATACAGAGTGTTTCACAACGACTGCAAAACCTGTGTCTATTGAATGATTGGCTTTTCCTGTGGTTCCGCTTAGAATAATGTAACAAATATGGTAGCCTTTCATAAATATAAGTAAATTATCATTTTGTAAACAATTAAAAAAACTTATTAAGCTAAAACATATAAAAATGTCACTATGCAAAATTGTATATATGTGGGAATCAGCTTGAGTTCAAGCATCAAAATAATAGGCAAATTTATGCATTTTGATTGGTAACTATGCAATTTCTGATGCTTCAGCATCTTAGCCTTTTTGGCAGACAAAACTTTTAATGATATTGATAGAAGGATATATAAAATTAATTTGCTAAATTAAATAGTTTAGTAATAAACAAGAAACATTTCTTGATCATATTTTGAAAACTGAAGAATAGAATTTCTATTTTAGATAATTATATATATGAATTATAACTAATGATAGAGCTTTTGCAAACAACTCCCAAAAGTGTCAGTCTTTCTAAAGAAATTTGGTGCATTACAAATTTCAGTTCTAAGGCCAATGAGAATGAAACAAAATTATGCAATAAAACAAATTCCTGAATACAATTAAGATAATTTAAGATTTAGTCAGAAACCAATTTAATAAACACTTACTAGGTCGAAAGGTTATTCTTGTTTTTCACACTCTTCTGAAACTAGTGAGGAAATGACTGAATATGTGTTTTTATTTCATAATTTAACTCATAAAATGTAACTAAATTAAATATTCAAAATGTTTGGATAATTTTCAGTGCTTAAAAAGCATATAATCTTATCTCTGCTAAAGTATCAATTAAAGCACAGTAATTAAATTTAAAGCCTCAAAAGTGCTGGAATAATAGCAATGCAAATTAATTTTCATTAGTCTAAGTTTAAACAAAATTAAGTACATGTGAGTGTAATTTCAAACTGACGAATCTCAGTAACAGAATTTACAAAATACCATGTATAAAATAATAAAACAAAAATAAATTAAATTTATGTATCAAATTAATAGGAAAGCTGCCAAGTTTTTTTTTTTTTTTTTTTTTTTTTTTGAAAATAAAACACCCGCATCATAAACCAAGCCAAAATAATAAATTCATTGGACTGACTTACGAGGAACTACAGAAGGAGCATCTTTGGTTTGCTGAGAAGGAGCAGATGATCGAGCTGGAAGTGGAGGGGGTTGACCAACAGCAGAAGCAGCCAGATGTTTAGGCCGCAAGGGAATAGGTGGAGGTTGAGCTGCCTGTTTAGATGATTCTTCAGGGACAGATTGGTGAGCTTCAGCACTGTTGAGTGACTGCAGCAAATCTTGATGAAAAGGAAGAGGTGGTGGTGGGCCGGATGGAGGGGGAGCAGATATATAATTGTCTTTTTCATCATTATACTGGATTTCTGCTGTAGCTATTTTCTCTTTTTCTGAAGTGCATGTTGAATCATTCACAGCCTTAGATTTATCGTTCATACTACCATCTGTATGCCTCGACAGCTGTTAAATGAAAAAGAGAGCTATGTTAATAAATTCATTCCACGTTTTGCACTGCTACTTGGGGTTGTTTTGTCTTAAATGAACTTTATCAAATGAATAATTTTTCCCTGCAAAATATTTTATTTCACACACTTCTCCAGTTACTTTTTAATTTTTCTGCTTAAGCTTCATGAATTCAACCACATCAGCATTGTCTTTAATGTCTAGATATACACATAATGCTTTTTTTTTTTTTTTAGGGATCCAGGAAAAAATAGTACAAAATTCTGCAAATCATGTGTTTCTTTTTAAAAAGATACACAAGGTGCAGGGTGGGATGTCAGAATTTCATCACTGGTTATGCAGGTTATTGTCCCACTACATTAACTATGCAGCTCCATTCTAGTTTTGAGCTACAGCAGTCCGGGGATGGTCCGAGAATCTAGCACCAAACCACTAGTGAAGGCTTTTGGCTTCCTAGTATTTCGAGTGTTCCTATGCCATGCCAACACTATATACTTAACACATATGCAGGACTAAAATCCAAGCTCATCAGTATGGCAGACAGTGTCACTAACAACCATACTGATAAGGCAGCGAAACATAAGGACTAGAAAACTATAAGCAAAGTTACATTGAAAAGTAATATTTGTAGTCTATTCTTGTAATGTACACTCCAATTCTGATGTGCAGTCATGTTACTGAAACCAGAGTCTGCATCCATAATTTCACTTTCTTGCATCACAGAAAGGTATTCAAAAATTAAATAAATGTATCAAAAGTTTAAAAATGCATGTAAGATGAGAATGTACTTTAAGATAATCAAAGAGAGTACCTGAAATGTGCTTATTATGTTCCCCCTGTATACCTAGCCATGGCTAAATATGAATGACCAGTTCATAAGTTATATTTTATTGCATAAGCAAAATTTTAATAGCAGCATTATTTTTAATAGTTCTATCTTCACTTCAAACTGTAAATGATATAATACAAATGCAGCACAGTCTCATTTATCTGACACAAGCAAGACCGACTAGTGACTAGAAACACAGAATTATTAAAGTGGATTTTTATGTATATATATAAACTTGGTGAAATACAAGACATATGAATACCACACTTTGAAATCAATAATTTTATGTCTCGGCTAATAAAATTATTTCATTAGAAAAAAAAGATGTCTGTTCCAATACATACTGCACAATATTAAAAAAGTATACTGTTATGGATATTAAATGTTATAATGTACATACTCTATAAAGTTTAACAAGCTCCTTTGCAAAGATGTTAGTACTAATAATGATCACATTTGCAATTCTGAGTGAGAACTGAAATTCATTTTTAAGCAATAGATAGGATCAAAAATCAAAACTAAATAAATACATAGGGTCCCAAATTTTCCCTCATAATTTTATCTTCCCTTCACGGAAAGGGAAAGTTGGGGGGGGGGGCTCTACACTGTCTTATCATTCCCTGAATATAGACAAAACACATCTTGAATTATGATGATAATAATATTTCAATAACAGAAATCATAACATTAAGTATGAATTAAGATTTCATAGTCCAATCGGATCCTATATCCATGGTTTCAGTTAGTAATAGTTAACAAAAAAGTCCTTTGAAGTTTCAAAATGTAATCTAAGTGATAAACAGTATATGGTGATATCTGAAACAAGCTAAGCACACTGTAAGCAGTTTCAGTTAATAAAGGTCCACAATGGAAGAAAAGTGCCTTTTGAAGTTTCAGAATGTAAGCCAAACAGCATATTGTGATTAACAGCCTACTGCCAAATGTAGTCAATGGGTTGGATTATTCAATTACGGCAAAGCACACAAGGGCTATCTGCCTAAAGGGAGGGATGCCTTCGTAGAGGTCTTTCTAAGGGAAACTGGCTCGTATACATGTTACACATGGAGAAAACCACAAAAACGCCCATGCAGCCAGCCCGTTAGCGGGATTCGAACCTCAAATGTAGTCAATAAAACAAGCTAAGCATTATATTCCCATACTAATCATGATCATAGGCACCGTCCTAATTAATGTAACTAAAGGGGGGCCTGAAAAAGTCATTTTAGAAACCTCATGTATGTTCTCAGGTTATAGGTCGCTGCTCAGAATTATACTTTTTATAACTAATCTTTACTCCATAACAGCTATAAAAGTATCAGCAGAGGACCACAGTCATCAAAACAAGTGGTTCCTGCCCCTCACGCACTTCGAGATTTTCCAGCTGAATTTCTCTCAGTTCTGCTTTTAATAATCTTTCTGTTCTCATAACCAACATTATATCACAGCTCTTGTATCTAGAATTATTTTATGAATGTAAAATGGCTTCCAGACGTAACAATAGGAATGCTACCAGTGCTTCTAAACATAAGAGAAGCTGTGAAGGCTTTCCCATTACTGAGAAGGCAAAAATCTTAAGAGTAAATTCTGCATTGTAGTAATAACAGTACAGTGTATGAAGTGAGATACAGGGCACAGTATGTTACGTTATTATTTATAAATACTTAATGATGTACGACTGTGCCAAGTTTATCAATTGAACTTTACAAAATTTATATATGTTTTACGTGGATATCCCACTCTGTATAGCACTTGTTATTATCCATATACATATGTTCTGCAATGAATTATCCACATACACAGGGCTCACACAATGCCAGATGGTCAGGACTTTGACGTATAGTATTTTACAATTGTCTGTCATTGAGAATTAGGCTGAACATTAGAATTCCTAAATTTCCCCTGTGTAATAAGAAGTTGCCGACAGGCGGCGCTACTAGCGAGCTTTTACTCTCGACTTACTTAATCTTTTTATTTTGTGCACTTGCTGTGCATGTACAGTATTGTGATTGAAAATTTAAAATATTTAAGGGCCAGATAGCTCCTCTATAATAAATGAATAGTAAAATAAATATAGCCTGACAATAATCTTTGTTACTAAAAACAAAGTCAACCAGCTCCTGAATACAGTTCAAATGGGTCCATCGTTGTCGCTGGTAAGCTCTCCCTTTCTAATCTCTATTTAAAATTATAAATATGGAAGTGCTAAAAACTAGGAAAAAGAGTGTTAAAATGTTCACTGACTCGGCATAAAGTTGTTTCGTCATTAGATGTTTCAGATTCAGTTGCGTTGCAACTATTTTAAACCAAAACTAATGGAATTTAATTTTGTATTTTATTCAATTTTCGAAGCATGTAAACCCAAAGAACTGGATAAATAAATTAAGGATAAAGATACAGATGATATTTCTGATGAGTTGCTATAGATGATTAATTGCAAATTATTCATAGTTAAAAATATAATCAATTCTGAACATTCTGTCCCTACTGTGCCAAATAATAATAATACAAATGTGTTTTAGATGTTAAGTTACCAACATTTAATGATTTACATCCGACATTTTCGGATGTTAAGTTACCGACATTTTTGGATGTTATACCGACATTTAATGGCAAAATCGAGAAGTGGATAATGTTTAAGGATATGTTTAAAGCTAGTGTAAGAGAAGACAAATCTATTTCGAATGCAATGAAATTACAATACTTGAAAGCTAGCTGTAAGCTAATGAGAGTAATACAATCTAGTTCTATTTCGGATACAAATTTTGATATTGCATGGAAACTTTTAGAAGATAGGTACTCGAATAAGTGTGAGCTTTTAAGTGCTATAATAAAAAAGCTTTTGAATCAATTAAATATTAGTGAAACATCTAGTTATATTCTAAATTTAACTGATGTAACAAACGAATGTATTTTAACTTTGAATATTTTAAACTTCAAAGTAGAAAGCTTATTGGAAATAATGATAGTATATTGAATAGTGAATAAGTTTGATAAATCGATTCGATACTGGTGGAAAAAAGATTTAAAAAACTAATTAAAGAATTCGGTAAGATTAAAAGAATTCGGTACGATTGAATAACTACTTTTCTTTTTACAAGACCAAGTGAGAACGCTTCAATATCGTAAAATAAAAGAGGTAAAAGAAAAGTAATAATTTTTAACATAAATTTATGAGTATGATATCCACTTCTATTACGAAGAACATAAATTTGAAGTGCTATGGTGAAGAATTTCATTCATTACTTAAATAATAGAATTCGTAAATCTTTCTATCAATGACAGGTGTGTATCACTGAAAAGAAATAAGCTTTGTTTTAATCATTTGAAAAACCATTCCGTTCGAACATGTTCGTCTAATTATCAATGCCAAAAACGCTGTCACATTTTGAAAATGAAAAACAAAATAAAATCGAAAGTGCTCATATTTCAAAGCCCGAAGTAGTTTGGAGGAAGAAAACTGTCAGTCTCAATCCGAATGGTGAAAATTTTATTTGGCTCTAAAGAAAGTATTTTCACACGCACAGCTGTAAACAAAATGCATCAGGCAAAGAATATTTTGCTTTCTACTGCAATAAGAGATTGTTATGGTGAATTAACATCAGCTTGATGCTTTGTGTGATGTAGGTTCGATGATTTCATTCTTAACCATTAAATGTGTTAATTCATTAGGGATTACAACAAAAACAAAAAAAAAAAAAAAAAAAAAAAAAAAATCTGTTGTGGTTTCTGAATTAAATAATACGAGAATAAATAGAAATTCTAAAGTATGTGCTTATATTTCAAATGATATTGACTTTGAAATGAGTTTAAAATTTTAGCGGGCGCCTAAAATTTCGGACTCCATACCAATAAATAATGCAGAAGTTCCAATTAAGCATTTACCTCAAAACATTAAGTTTGCTGATCCAAACTTTTATAAAAGAGGAAAAAATTGATGCAATATTAGGCACACAGGTGTTTTAACATATCTTAAAATTCGGTCAAGTTAACCTTGCCGCACCTATATCCAGCTTTGTCATTCAACACACCAGATTCGCCATCCCTCTCCATGCTGCACTGTCAAGGGAAGTCAAAGTAATGGTCGGCGGGCTAATAGTCTACGCTGCTGGAAACGTCAACACAGAGTACGAGCGGATACTGGGGGTGCTGCAAACATGCCCATTTCCAAACTAATGGTCCGTGATATGGTTTTACAATTTTGCAGGCTGACCTCAACTTTTCTCGAGTGTTAGTCACGGAGGGAGTTGAGATCCTGAGACAACTTTTCTTTTATACAGTGCTTCAGATGTCGTTTCTCCTTCCTGCATTGTCTCAATGCATTGAAATACTAATCATTTGCATATCCTAACCTCTTCTTCCTTTCATGCGATTTTGACATTCGTCAGATCATTCCTTCCTGGTGTTGCAAATTTAATGGCCAGCAGTGTACTTAGATCTATCAATAATGTTAAAACTAATGAAAAGCCTATAGTTCACCTTACATTTAGCAAGTTGAGATGGTGGAACTCTATTTATTTAGGTCAATCCAACAAGGTGAGTTTGTAGATGAAATGAAACATCTTGAGATAGATGCCTCAGCACCCAGCAACAGAAGGTAAAATCATTAAACTGTTATTTAGATAAAGTCAATGTTCTAAGGGTTGGGGGCAGACTGAAACATTTGGATCTCAGTACATATGAGAAAAATCCAATTATTCTGCCTGATAAGGAATTATTCACTTTAATATAATTGTGAGATATTATCATTTCAAGCATTTTCATATTGGTTCAAATGCATTATTTTATCATATTCGACGTAAATTTTAGCTCTTAAATGGCATAAATGTTTGTTGTAAAATTGTTTTTCAATATATAACTTGTTCCAAACAACAAACCTGTTTTTGAGAGTCAGATAATGGGCCCAAAGAACAAGTAACATGTTCCTACCCATTTAGTAATGTTGGAACTGATTTTTGTGGACCATTCCACACTAAATCTAAAAATCTGTACAAGGGAAAACTGAACAAAGTGTATGTATGCATACTTGCATATTTAAGCACCAAAGCTATCCATTTAGATTTTGTCTCTGATCTCACTTCAGATGCCTTTATAGTCTATTTGAAACGATTTTTTAGTAAATATGCAAAATTATTCAGTGACAATGCAAAGAATTATCTGGTTACGAGTATTGAACTAAAAAACTGCATAAATTGGTTAAACACCCAGATAAAATATTGACTAAATACCTGCTAAGTGAAAATATTGAATGGAGGTTTATCCCTCCTAAATTACCAAACTTCAGCGCCCTTTGGGAAGCTAGGGTGAGATCTTTGAAGTTTCATTTGAAACAAATTATCCGCAATGCTCATGTGTTTCTTGAAGAATTCAAAATCTGTAATTCTAGACATTGAAATCGTGTTACATTCTAGACCTCTTACTCCCTTATCATCCATGTTTGATAATTTTGAAACCTTATCTTCTGGACAATTTCTCATAGGGAGGCCTTTAACTTCAATAGCTGAACCCCAACTTATTGAGATATCAGAAAATAGGCTCTAAAAATGACGAAATATAGTCAACAAATTTGGAAGTTATGGAAGACAGACTATCTGAATAACCTTCAGTAACGCAGTAAGTAGATGTTTACTAAAGATAATGTTAAAGTGGGTTTGCTTGTAGTCAAAGATAAGCATATGCCCAGTACAAAATGGTTAACACGTAGAATCGCAGAAAAATTTTTTGAAAAGCATACAAAAGTTTGAGTGATTAAAATATTATTACCAGATTTTGTGTTCTTCCTGTGAGTTATAATTAGATTTTATGTGTTGTGTAATGTAATACGTTTCTTTCCAGCGTTTATATTACATTTATGATTTAATGTGTATTTTATGCTATTGTTTACAATTATTTATTATATTGTGGCTTAAAACAGTATATACTAATTGTAATATTGTTTTGAAACCCACAAGGTTTCGAGGTACGGTGTTTAGTACTAACAAGAAGTTGCCGACAGGCGGCGCTGCTAGTGAGTTTTTACTCTCGACCTACTTAAACTTTTTTCACTATACTTATTATTCTGTGTAATTACTGTGTGAGTACAGTATTGTGATTGAAAATTTAAAATGTTTAGTGGCAAGATAGCTCCTCTATAATAACAAAATGATTAATAAATGGAGAGTAAAATAAATGTATTGTGATGATAATCTTTATTGTTAAAAACAAAGTCAACCAGCTCCTGAATACAGTCTAACATGTAAAAGACAAAAACTACATTGCAAATATGCAATAAAGATCATATTTATTACCGATGGATACTAAGCTACTTTTGAACGAAGAACTGGTCTAGTGTATTCACATTAATCCTATCAATAAATATATTAAAACTGTGCTAAATTATGTTTTAACTGCTAACAAGGGAAGTCTCATTATTTTTTTTAATATGTATCTGCTTTTCTACAAATATATAGCAATAAAAATTAGAAATTAGCAGTTAATTTGCTGTAGATAAGCAAATAAAATATGAATACACAACTGCAAAGCTAAGTAAAGTAAAAACAGTTTGATGACTTAACTTCAAAGTGGAAACTGCAGAATTGGTAAAACACAGGCAGTGGTTTCGCCTATGCAGTATTTACACCAAATAAATATTAAAAATTGCCTGAATATGTAAAAAATACTCTAAGAATTGCATACAAATTTGCTTATTTGGAAGTAGAGAATGTTAAAAAAATTAGCTGTCAAATTTGATAGTTGAAATTATGTAAATACAACTATATTTGGCAATGCAGTGCTGTTTTATGACTTTTCCAGAATTTCAAAATATTGCCAAAGCTTTCCCAGAAAATTTGCCTTTTTCAGTCAAAAAGTTAACACAATAATTTTATTCTTGATGCTCTATACGGATTTAGCAGACAATTTTTACATTTTTTCTTTCTTACCCCTTTTCCTTTCTTATATATAGAATCAGTTGTATTGAAACCAATTTACTTGCAGTTCAATTCTGACAGGCCTTTCTTTAAAGACATGATTTGTTGCTATGAGCATAATCTTTTACACAACAATATTGCATTTTAACCACAAACACATGAATGAAAAAATTAATAAGGGCCTTTCTATGTAAATTAAAAAGAGATTAGTTTCCCCTATCATCATCCTTAATGGTATGATATCCCCCCAAGCTGTTTTCTATCTCAAGATAAGATTAGGAGGGAGGAACGATTCCTAGATACTGTCCAGAATCTTTTAATCAAATGGATATGTTCATTAGAAGTTCAGCCATATGCCTATGAATAGCCATCTAGTCTTCACGTCGTAGTGAGGCAGAAGTGATATACATTTGAATGTTTAATCAGGAAACAAAAGTTAGAAAACTCTAATATGACTTCTCTGATAAATAGATAAGCACCAGCATAAGATAGCAGCACCAGGACAAATATAATAATGCACAGATTGATGCATGCAAATGCCATGCAGTAGCAGCTTCCAGTCTCTGATCTGAAATTCAGTGCTCCATTATCAGCACACACAAATTCTCACTGGTTGGCTCAGAGAGGTTTGTAGTAAAGCCATCTTTCAGAAAGAGTGATATTAAAATCAAAGCATCAACGTGAATGCTTGCAGTACTCTTGCAGTAGTACTTGATGTAATGAATGATACACTAATAGGTTGTTTTTGGTGTCAGCAATAATAATCTCCAAGGGAGAATCTAAAGTCAATATGCTTATTGAACTGATTCTTAAGCAACAAATAACCTGTGCATGCAGATAGCACCCCCCTAGACTAGGTAGATTACACATTGAACTTATAATGCTTTTGCAAAGCACTGCATATCATTCTCTTTCATATACACCATATGTCAAATTTTTATTTTGACTCATGGAACCTTGGGATTCTGCGGAACACCATTTGAAGATCACTGCTACAGACAATATATCTTTTGAAGATCCGTGGGAAAATTTTAAACTGATTTTAAAAAGATTACAGCTTTTATTTGAAGTTAAAAATGTTTTATCTGATAATCAATATGGTATTATGCCCAGGTGGGGCACTGAAAATGAACTTCATGACATTATCAATTACATAAGAAACAATCGATGACAAGAGCATGTGATCGCAATCTCAATCAACATGAGCGGTGCTTTGGATTTCACAGTCTTGCCCTCCCTCTTTCGTGGTCACAATACAAGAAATCCTCAGGGAACACAATATGCGATCAGAAGAGAACTAAAGGCACAAAAAAATTTACATACTAAGATATTACTCAAAATTAATATAAACCTTGCCGTATAGCACATGGAACTTCGCAAACTTTTGCAATTTTTCATTGCAAGTTTTCTGCATTGCATTACTCATACTTCACAGTTTAGTTGTACTCCGATGTAACCACAAATGTGTGATTGTATCAGTCAATATGTATCAAAAAGCAATTAGTATTATGCTAGCATTTGATAGATTTAAAAAATTGAATAAAAATGTTCAAAAATTTATTTAAATAAAATCAAACTCTTTTAAAACATAATTCATATGGAAATCTCATCAATATGTAACTAATTATTGCAGTGAAACATCCCAAAGACAATCTTGTATGGCTTCAAAAATTTCTGGTCTACTTTCGAGGTGGTCTCATCAGATTGATTGTTGATGATGTTTAATACTGATATTTAAATTATACTCTCAGAAACACTTAACATTTTGAAAGGTGGTCACTGCAAAAGGTTAACTACATGTTATCTCAATGCATGATAGCTATGAAGTGTATAAAAATTTTAAAAAATCTATTACTCTTACTTGTGGAGGAGGAGGACGTTGTGGAGCAGAGGGCCTAGAAGGTGGAGGAGGTCTTGGAGGTAATTTAACAGGAGAAGATTTTAATCTTTCACTACCTCCATCTGTGAAAGGTGAACTTCTGCCAGATGAGGGCTGTGACTTGGACACATCATAATCTGAATCATTATATCCTACAGATACAACTAATTATAAGATTACAAGATAATTTAGCTTAAAAATAAATAATCCATCATCAAACTCATCAAATCACAAATAAAAAATTTACGTCAAATTTTAGCAACAAACAAAAATCACAAATCAAATCATATAAAAATGTTATCACCTGTATAAAAGGAAATGGGTAAAAAGAAGCTGTTCAATCAAAATGAATGCACTGAGCTGGTATAAAAAAATCTCTTAAGTTTTTGGGAATAGCAAAGTATTACTTTTGGGGATAGCAAAGTCCTGACTTATTATGTTTGTAGACGAAGCAAAGTATTACTGAATTTACAACAGGAATGAGTGTTTCGAAATGTCATTTTGTCGTTAAAACAAGCTACAAAATCTGGAAAAGCAATTCTGCATATGCTTGGAAGTTACTGTAAAAAGAACACTATAGCAGATGATAATCAATATAGTTTTCACTTATTTTCTTATGTAATTACCACACTCTGCAAATGAAAAGAACAGAGTGCCAATATTATACACAGCCATGTATCTGCTTGAACCATCACTTCTTGATGAATTCTATAGAATTATACATGCATGAAAACTATTCAAATCACTGTGCTACCTTCACGTCAGATGCAATGATGCAAAGAATATTGTTGCACACAGGTCCGACAAAGGTTGATAAAATTTATTTTATCAACAGGAACCCTACAAAGTTCTGGAATTTTCCACAGAAATACTTGTACAGGTGTTCACTGTATCACAGAGAATGATCAGTAGTTACCCTTCAAACTATGAAGAATGTTAAACACAAGGCGATGAATGAAATAATTAATCCAGGCTTTTAGATGTATTAAATATGATAATTTTGGTCACGACATCTTTTAGTCAAAGTATACAATACACAAATTTTCAAAGTAAAATTCAACTAGTAAATTTTCTTTTAACTTCCTAAAACTTTCAAAAGGGAAAAAAGAAAAAAAAAGTGAGTAAGTGTGTGGGGGGAGGAAGGCTTCTGTGATATGCAAAATTAGCAGAGAAAATATTATTATCAGGTTATTTAATAATCTATTTCTCAGAAAAGAAAAGGAAAGAAAGGTAACAAAAGGAAAGGAAAGAGAGGTCGATTTAAGATTTAAGGATCGTATAAAAATTTTATGAAACACAAATTTTTGCTTTGAGCTTTTTTGTAATCAGTATTTGGAGAATAGCATTTTTAAATTAAAGTTTTGCAAAAGTAAAAGGCGTACTTTAGAAATACATCCTTGGAAACTTAAGGAAGGGGGGTTTAACTCAAGGAAGGAGAGTGAATCCTTGGCAGTCATACTTCTCCCATCATGATGACTAGTCACGGAACCTTTTTTTTTTAAAAAAAAATTTGTAGCCATATTCTTTTGCATATGCATGCGCGAACAGAACATCTAAAAAGATTCCTGGATTACCATTCATTTAATTTAGTAAACATATTTAAATATATCCCCCTGTTATGCATTTTTCTATTTCAAATGTTTAAAAAAAGAACTTAATACTAGTAGTCAAATTATATTAAACACATTTTTCTGTTAATAATTAATATCACTGTTCTTTAACACGCAATAGGATTTAAATTGTGATATTTGAACACTTTAAAGAATTTGTCAGTAATCATGAAAATTAAAAAAATGATTTTAACTATTTTTATGAATTGTAAACGTGTTAAATACAGTAATTTGTGTTCTTATGTATTACTTCATTATATATTTCTTTGTATTGTGAACTCTCATAAATGTAATTTGTGCATTTATTCAATATAAACTGTTCTGTTGTTATAGATTATTTCATAAAATGTGCCTTTACTTAAAACTTATCAATTTCTGTTCAATATAGCAATAAAAGTAAGTAAAATATTTGCCATTATCAGGGCTTAATTTCTAAAATTAGCAGTCTCGGAGCCCTGTAAAAGACAATCAGGAAAGTGTAACAAAAATAAAGAAACAAAATAAATAATAAAGACATAAACAATTAAAATAATTAGTTTAATGAAATGTACATATAAATAAAAAATTATAAATTATTAGATTGATGATAAATAGTTTAATAAAATATAATACCAGACCTTCACTTATTTGGGACTCCAACTGGAATTACAATTTTACTCAAAAACAAGAACTAGTCCAATGGTCTCCGGCTGAATTTAAGCCTTGAATATATAGTATAATGCACTATTTCAATGGATGATATCATAAAAGATCATTCTATTTCCAGCACGCCAATGAATAAATAAATAAGTAAAATTGTTAAAGCATCATTAACAAGAACAAAGAGAACCTAGAAACAGTATGAAAGTATGGAAGGAAATTTTAACGGAAATACATAAGCATGAAAACAAAGAAAGAAGGGCCCAACACTATCCGACCATGACCCTTTGCCGATACTATTCTAGCTATCAAGCAAAATATGACAGACCCCCCCCCCCAAATTCAAAGGGCTTGATTTGTAAGCTGAGAACAAATGTAAAGTTCTGTACAAATAGTAATTTTAAGGCCTTTAAAGGTTGTGCCTAAGGGATTACCCTCGGATTGTTCAGCTGATGAAATACATGAGAAGCTTGTTAAAACTAGATATAAAGTTAGGAAAGCGGTACCGATGAGCAGAATAGGATTATAACTAGGGCCCCAATGCCATGTTTTCAAGCTCAAATTGAGAAATGCCCTGGAGTTGAGCAGATATATGAAATTACAAAGTTTATGAATTTTTATATAACTATTGTGTCTTATAAAACCAAGGAAAGCATAATCCAGTGTCTAACTATCAACACTTGCACCATTCTTCGGACACATGTAAATTGAAACCCAGATGAGTAAAGTGTGCAGGTTCGCACAAGGCGGAAAACTGCTCGGGTAAGCGCCTCGAAACTGTCAAATGTCGTAACTATCTACAAGAAGGACACACTGCAAAGTATCGTGGGTGTCTAAATTTCCTAGGAATATTTCTAATAATGTAAATGCTAAAACTGGAAATGTAAACCAATCATTTGTTCAAACTAAAGCAGCAAATGCTGTACCAAACAAAACCTATGCTAGTGCTGTTCAAAATGATGCTAATAATGATAAAAGTACTGTTGTCAATGATAAAAGTAGTTTTAATGATGTTAAAAAGTCTGTCGATATAGGCCTAGGAGCCTTTGCTGCCATTATTAAGTTTCTAAAAGAACTATGCAATATGTTTAAAACTTGTTCAATCGCGAGTATACTTTAAAAAAATATCAGACAGAATGCCTGAATTACAGGCTACTAAATATACGATTGACAAATTGTTTATATTGTTTGGATTATTTGAAGACATTTTTGGTTCCTGTAATAGTTTGAATAATGAATAGTGTTGTTTATAATTGTATTACTGAAATAATAATTGTATTACCATGAAACGCAAATGGATTATCCTGTAAGATTAATGAACTTAAGGATTTTGTAAATGAGAAGACCCCCGACCTTATGTTCCCCGACCATTGGATTTTACTGACAATATGAAGATGTCCCTTGCTCCCATGTGGCCAAATACACTATTTCTTCTTGATATTTTTCATATGGGGCCAGTATAAAAGTTAAGTATCCTTTATTAAAAATTAGCCCGTGAATAATCTTAAGTGATATATTTCTTAAGCTAGGAATACAGATCTATGACCCATAATTCAAGAGATATTTAGTCATGCAATATTTCGGAAATACTTCTACAGGTTATTTAAACTATGATTATAAGTACATTAATAAAGAATTACTAAATTTCCTCATGTGTGCTTTTGTGGTATTGAGCGGTAGCATGTTTAGCTAATAACTCGAAGATCCGTTCGAAGGTACTCGAAGATTGATCGAATGGGTCTCCAGTCTTTCCACACTTATCCCTTCAGTAGGGAGAATACAAAGAACTATCCCATTTTTCTGCGTATGTTCTCATGCTGTAAGAGGTAGCACATCCAGCCAACATTTCGAAGTTCCGTGTTTCGAATCACAGCCACGCTATAGTGGATATTCATATTTCCTACATCCAAAAAACTTAATGTGTCTGTAACTTTAGAAGAGAAAATGCTGTACAGCTTGATTCTTGTGCACTCAGTATTTATCATCTGTATTCAAGTTATAAGTATTTTTCCCGCTTTCTTGAAGTGCCTTCGTGGTGTAGTGGTCTGCACGTTGGGCGCGTATTCCAGAGGTCCGTGGTTCGATTCCCGGCGAAGGCGTTGCTAATTTTTCACCTTGCCTGCTTCCCCCCCCCCAAAAAAAAATCCTAATCTATCTACAGTCGCGCCCGAACTAAAAGGTGTTGGATGATGATTCTCCTCAACCCAGGATTTGGCGATTGGGTCCACTAAAATCCCTAGTCGCCTGCAGAGACATTAGGTATTTTTGGAAAAGCCGGAGAGATAACAAATTAGCAACGCCTTCGCCGGAACTCGAACCGCGGACCTCTCAATTACGCGCTGAACGTGCAGACCACTACACCCCGTAGGCTCACCAAGAAGGTGGGAGAAATACCTTATACGCCCTTTAAAAGAGGTAGTATATAAGGTATTTCTCCCACGCATTTCAGTTTCTTTGTATTGGCATTATTTGTGCAACCTCACACTCAGATGTAAGGCTTTGTATCTTGATAACAGGAGACTAATCCCCTGTTAATTACACCACTGCTGGATAGTTGGCGCCTAGTGACTTTTGGTTACACAATGACTGGCATGGAAGCACATACTGCAAAATCAGAATATTACTAAATCATGTTCTGGAATTTATATTTTCAGATTGCCATGGCATATAACTCATTGTGATCACCAAATTGCTAATAAACAAACTGCTCCAACTCAGAGCTTAAATTGCTGTGGAGCCTACCCCTGGTACTTTTCAGTTTTTCAGATAAATCATAATTCTAGCCGGAGTGCAGCAGAGCCTTAAATAAGAGAGCTCCTGCACTTCTTTAATGCAACTGAACCACAATTTAAGTGGAAAATTCTTCTGATCTCGAAAACTGTATTTTAATAGTAAGTACACCTTAAAAATCAATTCTGACTTGTGAATGCATGTTTGTTTTTTCCTGGGAAACAAACACTTTGACGGAAGTTGAGATTTTCATGGAAAGAAATGCCCCCACCCACATGTCAAAGGCTTATTCTCAAGAAGTACCAGGAATTTATTAGAGTTCATAAATTTTTCTGTTCCAAAAGTACTAGAAAATATCAATTCTAGTTGTACTCATCCAGTGCCAGTGAATTTTTACAGAAAAGAGCACCTGTAACTTTTTAGAACAATGTAGTTAAGTGTGGAGGATTAAAACTCTACCTCATACAGAACCTTATGTTTATTCTCAGTTTACAGATCGGCCCACCAGCGGCCGAGCGGTAAAGTCGCTGAACACTGGTAGTTCGGTCAGAGGTTCGAATCCCGCGAACGGGCTGGCTGCATGGGTGTTTTCGTGGTTTTTCCCATGTGTAACATGTATACGAGCCAGTTTCCCTTAGAAAGTCCTCCACGAAGGCATCCCTCCCCTTAGGCAGATAGCCCTAGTGTGCTTTGCCATAATTAAATACACCAACACCACACCAGTTTACAGATCACCTTTCTGATTCGTGAAAAAATTCTCCCTCTGACTTGTTGACAGCTAAAATTATATTGGCAGGAGATTGTGGTCAGAAAGTGTTGGATTTTTTCCTCTTTATTTTCATGCTTACATGTCTCCGTTAAAATTACCTTTTCTCTTATTGGTCTGCTGAGAAAAGGAATGGTTTTTGCTTCTATTACCAATAGTAGCCAGAGCCTGACTGAGCTGCTTTTGAGTTCAACTCTAATTCCAGCTGAAGCCGCAAATAAGACGATGTTCCGTATTTAAATTTATTATTTATTATTAATTTAATAATTTATTAAATTTTTATTTCTTCACATTTCATTCAATTTTAATTATTAAAAACTTCATTAGTTATTTTGTCTCTCTTTCTGATGACTTTCTACAGGTATCTAGCACTTCTAATTTTATAAATTAAGTGCTGCTTCAACTAATCATCAAATTAAAGTTTAATACTAAATAAACGTGAGCAAGCCGTTTATCAGAATCAGCATATTAAAGTGTCATAAATATTCATATAATGCATAAACAGATTGTGGTACCTTCTAGAACAGAACTCCATTCATTTTTTGAATCGAAACATTTCAAAACTTCCTTGTTGAGTTCTGCAACAGCTTTGTGAAGGGTCTGATGATCATCTTCACCATCAGCTAATTCACAGGAGAGAAAGTCAGCATCATGGGATGCTACTGAACTAGTAGGAGTTAGTGAAACAGTGTTATTTTGACACAATTTTAGAACTTTATAAATGTCTGCACGCCAGTCAGGTGTTTTTAATCGAACTTTTAAAATGCATCCGTTCATCTGAAAAATATATTGACATAATTAGCAATTAATTCAATGTTTTTTATGAATAGTAAAAGGTAATATATTTCAAATTATTCAAAAAGATAATATAAACATGTACTCAGCTTTAAAGACAGACAATTTTAGTAATTAAAAATATTATTTTGATTTATTATGTTCAACAAATAAAACTCATCAGTATTGAAAAACTAAATAGGAAAATAAAAATACCCCCGTAGATGTCGTAAAATTATGCATATAATATCACAGATAGCTTTCTAAACAACAAAACGAAACAAAAATGTTACACTGAACTCATTTTCTATTTTCAGTAAACTCGTAATATCAAGCAAATTATTAACAAAATTAACAGTAAACACTTTAGATTGTACGGTCATTCTCTGCTTTTCCTCATAAAAACTAAATTAGATCCTACAATGAACCTGGCGAATTCTGGCACAGGTGTGAAAAAATACCAGCACAGAAGAAGGGTGAAAGTAACCCTTTATTAAATTCAAATAATTAACAGGAGGGCACTATCTTCGTGCGTTACAATGGCACTATCAACTTGCGGTGAAACTAAAAACGTAGAATATAATTCAAGTCAAAAGTCTAAAATAAGTAGTGCTGGATAGTACGTAAGTTACGCCTAACAGGTTGACTCATAAAAAGCTTTCAAGCGTGATGATAATCCGAAATGGCCAAGAGGCTTACTAGCGTAACAACAACGAAACGTGCGCTGGCTAGCGAAAACACGCTCTGAATAAACTCTAATCTAATCTAATCTAATAAGCCTGGCCTAGGTTTTAGTAGCAACTACTACTCTTACTGCCTATCATGGAATATTGCCCATGGGGCTTGGTAAACAATCATTACATGGAAGGTACCTCCCCGCCAAATAAGGTGAAGCTAGTGAAGTACTTAGTGTACTTATTATCGTAAATAATTTTCAAGTAGCATCCTTGATTTTGCGTATTTCCTTTTGCTGTTAGGGGCTAATAGTAGGTTGGTGCTTTGGCCCCGGCTACAAGCACCGTAAAAAGGGCCTAGCGAACCTAACAGCACGGCCACGTGTCTCTTGTTTCTGCTCTTTACCGATTGAACAATGATGAAAAAGCTCTTTGACTTTCTCGGAGTGCTAATCACGGAGTACGAAGTGAGACCTGATAACAAGCCACTCACTGATAAGGAGAGTATGGAACTACGAGTACTTCGCGGTTTCAGAGCCACACTCCACAAAATGACCCTCCAAGGATCTGAAAACACTGACGTTAAGGAAAATATACCTGCTAGAGACCAAACGGAACCTGCACCATCTATGACCAACTTGGCTGCGGAATCTATGATAGTGGATGAGACACGGACTAGCAGTAAACGCCCGCTCAGTCCCACCATTGAATTCCAGTCGCTAACAGATTTTCCTTTGCTGAAGAAGGAACTCCACTGGACATGGACAGTTCGGATGATGGAAATTACACAGAAATTAAGAAATCTGTCCGGAAAACTAGGCGAACACACGGGAAACGCCGTACTCCGTTTATAAACCCAAAAAATTAAGAAAAATCTGTGAATTCTGTCCCTCAGGAGGAGAAACTTCTGAATCCCGCCCCTCAGGAAGAAGAACCAAGCGATTCGTCTGCCATGATCGACACTGCCTTTCATCAACCAATCAGAGCGGATGGCCCTAACACATGAGGTTGCTACCTAGTAGTGATGATAATGTGACGCCATCTATTGAGGCTGCTGAAAAGTCAGCTCACGCGAGTATGCCTTTGGAAGAAAACCTAGCTCGGCCAATCAACATTTTGGATGTTAGCAAGATCTTTGCATAACGAGGACGATAACTTTACCTACAATAATTATCCTACGTTGTCCATGTTATCAGATATTGTAATAGAGCTTCTCATAAATTTGTAATAAATATATTTTGCGTTCAAAAATGTAGCAGGTGATACGCAACCTCAATGTACTAAACAAAAATAGCAACTTAGTTACTAATTCTTACATAGAGTCATCAGCGCAACCTGCCGCCGGTTAGCACTCATTCAATAATTTCATTCATAGGTTCGATAATAGAACTGATAAAGGATTTTGATGGTTTTCCCCTTCGCATGTACTGAGCAAGTAAAAAATTAATTTTCCGAAATCTTAAATTTTGCTTTAAGCAGTTATAAAACTACACCTTCATCATGCCTCTTCTCCATATCATAAAATACTTCTACACACAGCTATGACCCAAAATATGAACACCTTTTACTTTTGGCAACTTTTATAATAACATCTGTTTAACTTTTTAAAACTTATGGCTAATGGGTATTGTTTGAAATCATATTATAGAATTTATTGATTATGTAAGCATTATCATTGCTTTGCCATAATGATATTGTTCCATGGTACTAAACTTTACCTCATTTGACGAAAATTTTGTGGACCAAAGATCTACGACTACCTTCCCCTTCCTCAAGCAACATTTGTTTTACAACTGCCTTTTGTTGCTGCTTCTGAAGTTTTTGCAATTCTACGCTGAACTGACTTTGTTGTCATCTACACTAGTGAAATAAATTAAGAGAATTTTCATATTTGTTCTCGATCTCCAGAAGTACTGGACAGATTTTAATAAAATTTGGTGTGAACATAGGTTGATATAATACAAATATAACATTTAACAGTTATAACAAAATAAACATTTAACAGTTATAACAAAATAAACATTTAACAGTTATAACAAAATAAACATTTAACAGTTATAATAGACACACAAGTTCGTGTGTAACACTCATGGGAGTCTAAAGGTCTGAAACAGCGGTTGCAGAAGACAAAAAAAGGGGGGTTAATAGGGGGTATGGTCCTTTCTTACAGCCATACAAGCCTCGCAACGTGATGTCATACTGGAAATAAGGTAGTTTATCAGTGCCTGTAACAATTTGTCCCACCCATTCAGCAATGCTGTTTTCAGTTCCCGGATGGTTCTCGGAGGGGGGGGCTGCGAGTTGTAATTGCCCTTCCCAGAGCGTCTCAGACATGCTCTATAGGGTTGAGGTCTGGAACCCGGCTGGCCAATCCATCTGGTGAATACCCTCACTCTCGAGAAATTCGTCGACCAGAAGAGTTCTATGTGGCTCGCGTTATCGTCTTGTAAGATGAACTCGGGGCCCACTGTATCCCGGAAAAGGCGAACATAGGGCTCCAAGACCTCATCCCTATACCTCACACCAGTCCCACACCCTCTGTCAAAGACGTGGAGAGGTGTGCGGCCATCCAGCATGATGCCTGCCCAGACCATGCTGCAAGATAACAGCAAGAAATTCGCAAAGGTGTGCCAGCGAACGCAATTCGTCTTACCCTACACGCACGCCCTTATAAAGCCTGTTTTTCTGCTGGCTCCGCCTACACACACACGTGTACGCTTATGTATGTGTCGTACAAGAATTGTATTTTATCTAGAAGCAGTGGTTTTTCCTTCAGTTCGGTTCTTTTCATGCAATTCGATAAAATATGCAAATTAACTTAATTTATTTCACCAGTGTAGTTATAAGGTATTTCTCCCGCCTTCTTAACGAGCCTTCGTGGTGTAGTGGTCTGCATGCTTATCGGGTAATTGCGAGGTCCGCGGTTCGATTCCCGGAGAAGGCGTGGCATATTTTTCCTGTCTCCTGCTTCTAAAAAATTCATAATGTCTCTGCATAGTAATTCCCTTACGTCTTGTCTGTTTAATTCTGAACCTATTATTTTGCCTAACGTTATAGCTAACAAAATAATCCTCTGTGCTTTTGCCTGTAGCACAAAGAGACCATAATTTTCTCCAAACCACATTCATGATCCTATAAATCCTTTGCTGCTAGTCTTCGCTAATGAGAGCTAAGCAATGGAGAATATTAAAATAATGTTTCAAGAAGCGTTAGTTCTGTGTCACAAGTTACGACATTTACGAATTAAGTTCTACTAGTAGTTAGCTTGATGTTAATTCTTTCCTATATGCTTCGTTCACCACACTAACCGATCAGACCGTAGGATTTTGCAGATTGTGCGACAAGATTAAAACTAAGATATAATCTTAACCAGCAGCTCGATGGAATTGGCCTAGTTGCACTCGAGGCCAGCGCTAGACATTTTGCCGCCCGGTGCAAACTCTGCAACTTCTAAATTCTGCCACTCAGTTTTCTGTTAAATTCTAAAAATTTTTCCGCCGCTAAATTATGCTGCTCAGTACAATTGCGATTACACCGACTTAGGCACCAGCCCTGGTTGCACTGCCATTTGCTGAAAGCAAGTCGCTCACACAGCAAAAGGTCAGATGGTATTGTGACTCTAAAAATGTTTTAGTATTGTAATCACGTCGTAACTATAGCTTAGCAGCAAGTCACTGTAACTGATAATTGACGAGAAGTTTCATCATTTATATTATTATTACTTTTAACTGTACCACAAATAGTGGCCAATAAAGTTTTGAGTTAATTTTCCCTTTAATTTTGCATATCATAATTAGGCGCAATCACAGGTCAACTATTCAACATAAGTTCTTGAGATCAGGAGTTAGGTTTGACAACAAATACTTACGAAGTCTTCAAAACACCTTTGAAATTAATTAGTTGTCAACTCGCGTACGCATTACACGACGCATCTTTTGCAACCCAAGATATTCTGCTCAGAAAACTGTCCCATCAAAGGCCAAGTGGTTAAGATAACTGAATATTAATAGTTTGACCTGGGTTCGAGCCTAGAGAACGGGCTGGATCCATGGTTCGTTTGCGTGGTTTTCTTCACGTCTAACCAGTTTTTCTTAAAAAGTTCTTCATGAAAGCATCCTTCTCTTAGGCAAATAACTCTCGTATGAATTATCATATTCAAATAATGTAATATAACCTAATTGTTCGAAAGATTTTTTTTTTCGATGAGAGACATATATTAAGTAAAAATAATTGTCTACTATATTTAGATTTTTGCATAGTGTCTTGGAAATAAATGCACTGGGTAATTGAAACGCATTTTAAGCGTATTTATCACGCCTATGGTATAAA